AGAAGAAGAAGAAGAAGAAGAAGAAGAAGAAGAAGAAGAAGAAGAAGGAAGAAGAGGGAGAGGGAGAGGGAGAGGGAGAGGGAGAGGGAGAGGGAGAGGGAGAGGGAGAGGGAGAGGGAGAGGGAGAAGAAGAAGAAGAAGAAGAAGAAGAAGAAGAAGAAGAAGAAGAAGAATGCTGCTGACAAAAGTGCAGTTAACAAACAGCTTGCCTGTATGCTAGTGAGCTGATGCCATGGGCTATTTCAAAAGGTTGCTGGACATCTCTGAGATACCAGAACCCAAATACTCTTTCTGAGGTAAATGTATAGTCACACCCTTGGGCCGAGTCGATAAAAGGTCTATAACTCACTCTGGTTATCTGGTTTTTTGATTTTCAGGAAATCTCTTGCTAGTATAAGTGATCTGAAGAGGCAATGGGAGTTGTTTATCAGAGAGTCAAGAACCTGCCTAAGATTTAGGTGGACCTCAGGCACTGAGAACTTTGTTCCTTGGAACTGCAATCCCCAACTGAGACTACTCTATGCCAAGGGATGTCAGTTCACTTACAAATCATCTAGATTCTCAGTCATGTTCATTAGCTAGCATAAATCTTGCCTAATGTGAATCTGTCATCAGAAATCCTAGCCTCTTCAGTCACAGTTCTGGCCAGTCTTGTTGGGTTCTCTTAAACACACACAGTAATGAAACAAGTCAATACATATATCTCATCTAACACTCTCTGCTCCAGAATACTTTTACTGTTATCATTTCTTTGATATTTATTCTTTCACTTCTCCATGTGACCACTACATAATGGGGAATGCAATCTCCTTTTTAATTAGGCATGTTTCTATAGTAATTTATCCCAAAAAAAACAATTAAAGCTGGGAATAAATACAGGTTCAAGCCTGTGCTCTCACCACTCAGGAGACTGAGGCAAGACAATTACAACAAGTTTGAGGCCAGCCTAGGCTACACAGTGAGTTTACCCCAAGTTTAAGCTACACATCAAGACTGTGTATCAAAAATGCACAAATAATAATAATAAAAATGATAATAATGTATATTACAGCCTCTTTTAAATAGTATTCAGTAATTCTTCCACATATTCAATTGAAACACATTTCTATAAAAACATCTGTTCAGAGGATCCATAAATAATACTAAGAAAACAGGGACTTAGGGACTTTGCAGCTGTCTCACATTATAATAAAAAAGTAACAAAATAGCAAACAATTTACCTAAACTGATTAATTAACCACTGAGTACTGAATACAAATCCCTAAGAACAAGAAGGAAAATAAAGCAGATAATTATGATTTTCTCAATAAAATAAATAAGTAGACTTTCCATAAATGTGTCAATTTGGTTTGTCAGACATCCTAATCCTTAATGAATAGGCAGTGCTCAAGTATTTTATAAAATTAGAAATTCAGAAACTTATGACTTGTTTTTATTATAAATTTACAAATCAGAAAGGGAATTATTCTTGAGGCTGGATAGATGGCTCAGTGGTTAAGAGTCTAGCTGCTCTTACAGAAGACCCAAGTTTTGTTCTCAGCGCCAATTTCAAGCAGCTAATATCTGCCTCTAACTCCAGTTCCAGAGAATCTGACATCAGCACATGCAGTTTAGATCTCACAAACCCAGCTTAACCTTACAGAGCCTGCTCTGAACCCTCATAACAGAAAATGGGAGATGAGAATGGTAAACCAAGCTGAGTAATTGAGAATACAGACTGTTTTATACTTTCACAGCACCTGGGATTTGACCTTACTGTGGAGACAAAGGAATGAATAAAGGTGAGACACACAGAAAAAGCTGGGATTGTGGTGACTGCTCTCTGTGTTTAATGTGACTTTCAGAGAACAGGAGCTCTTAGTGGTGAAGTAAATAATGATTTACAACATCATCCTGGAAGTGAGAACACAGCAAAAACAAAGGTAGAAAGGGCTCCATGCAAAGGGATGTACGTGTGATCTTAGGGTAGTTTCATGGTAGTGGATACCATGAGAATAATACAAGGATGGCACTAGAGATAAAGTGCCTCCAAGGCAAGCTTGGTTAGACTGAATTATGAGGAAAGAGAAGTCATCCATTCAAATATCCAGTAGATAGACATCTTCAAGAATCTCAGGGTAAGAATCAGTTTAGGATTTCTGAAGCCAGAATGAAGAAGAATGCCATTTTAATTATGGTTCATATGCAAGAGGCAGAAAAAGGGGATGAGGTCAGGGAAAAAGAAAATACAGGTGACGATCCTTTAGAACCTCGCAGGCAACAGGGAAGAGCTGGGATTCTGATCCAAATACTCAAAGTGAAAAATCCAATTGGAGGATGATTAGAAGGTAGGAGTTGGTTACATGGCTGAATTCACTTAGACATGAGCCCTTTAGCTGCTGCAAGAAGTGCAGACTTTAAGAACAATAGTAGCAGCAGGGAAATTCTGTTTGGAGACTATTATGCTTGTGCAATGTTGCTGACAAGAGTCCAGGTAGCAGCAAAAGGTCTGGGGAGTAGTCAGTCAGATTCCAGACATAGGACAGGCAAGACAAGCTG